GAGTCTGGCTGTCTCACTCCTGACTGCTGGAGTGGTGCGTGAGTTATGCAGGCCGTGCCAGATGAGTGCCGATCAACCCTGTAGACCTCTTCATCATGTATATTGCACATGCCACAGACTAGCTGCTACAGGAATGTGCTCAGAAATTCTTCAATCAGGACGGCTTTTTGGTATTGCTCTGAAGCCAGGTGCCTCAGTTATCATCCAAGGGCTCAGAGGGAAAACCAGGCAAAATGTGACAGCAACTGGAAAGTTAGCTGGGTGGGCGAAAATGAACATGGGGTTGGGAAGCTCGATGCTCCTAATTCTAGCTCTGAAAGGGACTCTTGCTAGGACCTCGGGCTAGCTTCTGTGCTTTGGTTTGCCCTTCTGTGAAATGGGGACAATGCTAGCCTTAGTTCACTGCAGCATCACAAGGGTTAATTCGCTAATGTTTACGTAGGACTCTGAAGCTGTCGTGCCCCCAGTGTTGTTAGTAGGATTCTGAGGAGCCAGGAAAGCAGCCAGGGCTAGTGGGGTGTTGGGTACTGGCTCAGGAAGGGCGACTGTGCTGTTGGCAGAGGGGGTCTCTCTGCAAAAGAAAGGGGTAGCTGGTGCTCTGAGTGCTAGTTGTAGGATGTGGAGGATAGAGACTCTGATTCTTGGGAGTGCAGGTACCAGATGTTCCCAGTGCTGGCTGTTCTCTGGGCTTGGCCTCAGTCACAAGCAACTTCCCCTTGGTGTGCGAACAGCATGCCTCCAGCAGGGAGCAAACTGCCCTGAAAATCCGTTCCCCTGCAGCCAGGAAACCAGCCGGGATTCTATGCCAGCCCGTGGTTTGCCTGGCTGGCCCTTTCTGCTGACTCAGTGCCTCCCGGCTTTTGGACTTACCGAAGTGCACAGGAGGAGTCAACGCTCCGCTGCACATCCATCAGCACCGAGGCTGTCCCTCCATGCCTGCCAGCGAGTTCATGCTAGAGCCAGCTTCTGCCAAAGCCACGAGCTCCCGTCTCCGTGTGGTCCCACTCCCTTCACTCCTAGTTCAAAAGCTTTGCTTGACTTTATTTTGCCCAGGTGTCTGTCTGTCTATCTCTCTCTCTCCAGCCAGTGGGTGGATGGCACCACTCACCTACTGTTTGGGTTGGCAGCTGCCCTCTCCTCTGCTGCTCTGCTCGCTTGGACGGCCCAACAGGGAAGAGTGTGCTGGATGGAAAACTTTACAGCCGCCCTCCAGCCGTGCAGCCACGGCAGAGCGACTGTGCAACCGTACGGAGCTGGCAGGCTCAGACGTAAAACAAACATAGTGCTGGATGCGGCCGATATACAACCCCATCACTCTAGTTTCCACCTTTACATCAGTCATGAATATTTTTCCCCAAAGAAGATGAGGCCTGGCCTGCTGCTGGCTTGTTAAACCCATGCACCCCTTCCCATGGCCCTATTGTGCCTTTCCCCTGCTTGCCCCTCATTCCTCTGGCTTCTACTCCCTCCCTGAGTGGTGGTAGAGCAGCCAGCCTGATGGAACAGGGCCCTGCTCCACAAACTCTCTCCCCCTGCTCATGGTGGCCTCAGTTAACCCTTTCCTGTACCTAATAATAGCCACGATGATTGGCTAGCGCGCAGCATCTTCAAACGGGAGACCAGCACTAACAGCTCACCAGGCAGGCTGGCTGGAAAAGAAGCGTTCCATGTCATGAAGAGTGTCGAGGTTTTGAATTTTGGTTTCAGTCTGCACTGGAATAGCGGGGGCGGGAGGTTCCTACTGATGAGACCTGAGGTGGATTGGCAGCGCTGGGAATGGGGAGGATGGACTAAGATTGGCAGTGCCAGGAGCACCTCAGGTCAGGAGTGAGGGGCATTAGCAGGGCTGCCCGGGGACCCATGACTGCAGTAACTGGGTGCTCCAGGCTAGGAGCGAGGTGCTTTGGAAGAGCTGATGGGGGCCCAGGACTGGGACATCAGAGGCGCTGCCCTTCAGGCCTGAGGTGTTTTGGCAGAGCTGCATGTGTGGGACGCTCACTCAGACAGCGCTGGTCTGCACTGTGTCTGGAGCAAGCCAGGACTCTGAATCCCCCCCTTTCAAGAGCAATAAATTCCCTCACTTATCTTCCCGAACAGAAAAGAGCTATAAATGACTTACCTATTTGCAGCTTGAGGGCTCTGTATTGGATTAAACATTAACCTGCCTTTCCAAGCAAAACTACTGACTCTCTGGATAATTCAGAGGCCCAGGCAGTTCAAGAAAAGGATTTTTTGTCAAACAGACTTTTCATAAAAAAATCCCTCCAGCCATTTTCTAGTTCTTCGTGTTTATTTGGTCCTGCAGTAGAGAGCTTGCCCCACAGTTTGCTGTTTGTATTTGTGCAGTCAAGCCGACGTCACTGCTCTGCACACATACACACATACATGCATAGTCACGCACACACAGATGCACATAATCATATGCACACATAACTGCGCACACACACACAATCATAGGACCGTGCATGCACAATTGCACACACGCACAATTGCACACACCTAATCGCATGCCCACACACACACACAATTGCATGCACACATGCAAATATGTGAAAGGAGCTGTAAATTGTCCCTGAACCTTCTGCAAAACAGTATTATAGTATTTGAATCAGCCATGTCTATGAATATAACCAGAGGCGCAGAGACAAGGGGGGCAGCCCAGAAGGTAGGATATTTGATTAGCATTCAACCAAGCAAGCTGTGGATTGTCTTCCTGGCGCCATCACTGGCCCACCATATGATGTTGGGCAAGTCACTGCACCTCTCTGTGCCTCGGTTTCTCACCTGTAAAATGGAGCTAATGACTTGTAAAGCGCTTTGAGATCTGTTCTAGAGACGAGCTAGGTATTGCTGTTTAATGATGGGATGGGCTACTGGTCTCTTCGTGTCCTCATGCAATGCCAGGATCAGAGCACACCAACCCTGTGCCAGGCAGGCTTGCAAAGCAACAGACTTCCTTGCAGGATATTACAGTGGGAGTAAAAGCAAGTAGGTGAGTCACCCATCCTCTGGATTGCTGAATACTAGCAGGGATGGCCCTGGGCTCTCAGTAATGAGATACGCGCTTACACAGTCCCAGGGAGGGAAGGGAGAGGGGTTAAAGCAGTGGCCACACAGCTGACAACATGGTGAGGGGGCCTTTCGCAAACCACAAAGTCAATATTTTACTATTTTGTGCAAATCCAGTGCTGGTGAAAGTTGCTGGCTCAGCAGCTTCCTTCACGACACATGCAAGGGTTAGAGGGCAGCTCAGGCTCCATGGCCCATTCAATCTACAACTGCTCTCCTGAGACAGGAATTGGAGCCAGCTGTGATGGTGGGTTGTGTGGTGTGGACACTTGCTCAGGGGGAACTGGACTGAGACCCAACAAACTCATTTCACCAAACACCATCAGCTGGTAATAACTAATGATTGGAGCTGGATTCAAACTGATGACCTAGAGGTGAAAAACTGTATCTAGGAGCCAGTCAGTCCTCACACAGCATCATTTTTATCTCAGGCCTTGTCTACATGAGAAAGTTGTGCCAGTTTAACTTAAATTAGTGTTTAAATCACTTCAATTAAACCTGTGCAAACCACTGTGTGGACATGCTTAGTTCAGTTTAAACCAGGCTCATATTCTTTTAGTTTAAACCAGATCCTGATAGGTTTAAGCCAAATGGAAATATGTCGCTCTGAACTGAAATAAGAATGTCCATACAGGGGCTTGCACCAGTTTAACTAAACAGGGCCGGCTTTAGGCCGATTCCCCGGAATCGGGCCCCGCAGGTAAGAGGGCCCCGCGCCTTAGGCTCACCCGGCGGCGGTCCGCTCCGGCAGCATTTCGGCGGCGGGTGGGGGGGGTGCGCTCCGGGGTCTTCGGCAGCATTTCGGCGGCGGGGGGTCCTTCAGTGCCGCGGAAGACACGGAGCGGACCCCCACCGCCGAAGTGCCGCCGAAGACCCGGACCGCGGAATCGGGCCCCGCAGGTCCTAAAGCCGGCCCTGTAACTAAATCAGTTTCCAAATTGCACCTCTTGTTAAACCGGTGCAACTTTCTCATGTAGACAAGGCTTTGGGGAGAGGTTCTGCTACCTTTCCTCCTGCTGAATGAGTCTCAGGTCAATGGAAAGATTCCCATTGATACCAACTTAGGCCCTTCCCTCATAAAGAGTCCAATTCCATGGGGCAGAATCCAGTTCTTCGACCTTTCTCTTCTCAATGTTCTCCTCTTTCTGCGCTAACAATGCCTCCAGCATATTTGCCTGGCTACTGATTACCCAGCATGCACTTCACACGGCCAGTAATCAGAAGCATGTGTCTCGTCTCTGGGCTGCTGAGACACCCAGACCATGTATCAGACTTGAGCCTTTCCTCTCCCCAGATGCTATGAAGGGCAATGAGTGGACCTGTGTGTGAGGGGGGAGAATCTCCCTTCGCTTTGTGAAGCTGGTTGTCTGGTATGTGGCTGGCTGTTGGGCTGCTTCTCTTCGGCGTGATGAATGGTTGTTACACACACGCACGCATGCACACAACCCCACAGCAGGAAGCTAAGCAAATGCTTCACTTGCCTGGCAGCCTCGCCTCTCTGTGCGGGTTTGGAGAGCAAAGAGGAGATGTTTACACTAATCAGGCTGACAGGCCAGCAATGCACTTTGAACTAGAAACTGCTTCTCCCTAGAACTGGGGTGATCCTGACCCATGTAGAGGGGGAGGGGCTGAGTCAACGGTGGTGGGGTGGCTCGGGGCTCGAAGGAAGAAACTCAGGTAGATTTTGTTCCTGGCTGCACAGGTTCAATCTGCGGGAGGTTCCAGGCCCGGGAGCTGGCAGAAATATTCTGCAGAGTGCATTTGTGTTCGGAGGGGAAAAGGTTAAACCACCAGGGAGGCTGAGCTCTCCTCCTTCCCCTGCCAATGTCAGCGCAGTTGGAACGGCCCAGAACTGAACATCAGATTAGGAAAGGTGTGTTCTAATTGCTGGGAGTGTGCTGGGCTGCCCCTCAGCTGGAGCTCCCGGTGTGTGGAGCCAGCGTACAGGAGGAGTGCACTTCCCCTGGCTGATCCCTGCCTGCGGGAACAACAGGACTAAGCCAGTCACACATCACCCTGGGGATTAGTCGCAGGAGCAACTTGGAAAGCCATCCCGGCACGGAATTTTGTTCCTATGTAACGTCCGCGACGGTGGCAGCATGAAGAAATCAGTCCACTCAGGTGAGCAAAGCGGGCCCTGGTTTGGTGGCTGCCGGGTGTTCTCGAATCAGTAAGCTGGGCTGTGCGTGTGTGTACAAAACCAACACTTAAAAATAACAGTATGGCATGTACAAGCCCTTCTTGCTCTAGTTCTCTCTGTCGGAGGAGAGCTGCTGTTTTGTTGCCTATAAATGAAAGTCTTTGATCAATGGAAACCCAGAGCAAACCCAGGGAGGCAGGTTGTGCCAGCCCACTGGAAGTGTCCGTGAATGCAGTTCCTGTGACCTACACGTCACTGTGACAGCACACGCCACAAGGAATGGCAGAGTCGGTCAGCTTGGAACAAAAGAGGGACACTGAAAAGCAAAGCGGTGCCTAAGTTACCGGCTGCATTTCCTGTTGTAAGGGACACTAATAGCATGTGTGCTGTGAATTGAATGAACCAGAGTCGTGGGAGGGTGGTGTGGGTCTGAGTCAGTGCCCTCTATCCCACCCTGCTGGTTTTTTTCAAGAACCCTCGACTCCCCAGCTCTACTCCAAGTCAATGCAGGCTCTTTTGCACTCACTCCTGTGGGGACAGCCATTGTAGGTCACTGGCTGTGGTAGGGCTGCAGCTGGTTACAGTCCTGCCAAGGTAATCTTCTGCCTCCTGGATGCTGAGTCACCAGCCGAGGAGCAGTTACAGCTCCTACCCCCTCATCTTCAGCCTTCCCATTAGAGCAGAGCCCTACGAGCCCTGTGAAAGCCTGGTAGGGTGACCAGGTAGCAAGTGTGAAAAATCGGGATGGAGGTGGGGGGTAATAGGTGCCTATGTAAGTAAAAGCTCCAAAAATCGGGACTGTCCCTATAGAATCGGGACATCTGGTCACCCTAAAGCCTGGCATTGGCAGTTTCTGAAAGAGCTGCCAAGCCACTGCTCACAAAGAGCTGCCGCTGGTACAATGCGAGGGGAGTGGCTAAAGTTAGCATGGATTCCTGACACCCTGTAAGGTCAAACTAACAAATCCCTGGAATAAGTGATCAGTGGGTTATAGTGAGGGCAAATCCCCTATATAAGACCAATCTCTTACCCAACTGACACACTGCAGTTAGGGTCCCTGCTAGCACTCAGGCACATTTTGCCCTCTACAGCTGAGTTCCACTCCTGGTCCAGCCAGCAGCCTGTGACTTTAAATTCCTTAAGCCAAATTCTGCTCACTTACACCCTTACTACCCCAGTGACTTCAGTGGGGCAGGCTGGATGTGACTGCCTGCAGAATGTGGGCTGTTTTCTACATGCTGGTCTCTTCCAAGCAGCCTGAGTCACATTTCTTGTTGGACCATTGCGTGGGTTAGCTTCTTCGCTGGTATTTCGTTGCTTTTTGGAGTGGCCAAAATACTGTGACTTATTGAAGCCACATAACAGCCAACTCGAATCCCTTCTGGGGGCTTGGATGATCTCATAAACCACAGGAGCAAGCTGGACCCGGTGCTTTGTCTTCGGAGCTCCCCAGTGGAAATGCCTCGGATTACTCCAATGCTTATGTCCATTCAGAACGTTTCTACTGTTGTGTGTTTAGTCTCGAGCTCCCGCCCCTAAAATATATCTCTTATTGGTGTCAATCAACAGACTGTTCTGGTGGTTTTATTATGACTTTACATGTTGGGACCCATAGCTGGTGAAAGTATTATTATTAATATAGCACCATGCCTTACAAAGCATGTAATTTAGATGGGCCATTGCCCTGGGCAGTTTTACAAGCTAGATAGGACAGCTACAGTACAGCAAAAGATGGCATGAGGACAGTAGCAGTGACCACTGTTCCTGACTGTGAGAAAGCAGGGCAAAAGAAGTGTGTTTCATGGGGGAATTTGATGGGGAAAATGTGTGGAGCACAGAAAGTGGAGGGTAATTTCAAGGGTAGGATTAGGGCAAAAAGAAGGTGCAGAGGCCAGGATGGGAGAAGGGATTCCTAATACCTCCCTGCTCCTAAAAATAATGGGCCAGGTCCTCAGCTGGTGTTAGCTGGTGCATCGCCATTGAAGCCATGCTGATTTATCTCTATGGAAGATCTGGCCCAATAGGTCTTATGTGAGGTGGGGCAGCTAACAATGGCAAAACATGGCGCACAGGTACCACAGTGATGGGCTTGTTAGAAAGGCATAGATAGAAAAACATCTGATGGGTTGCAACTCTTTTCTGATGCCTCCTGACGCCTCCCAAATAATAGACAACACATATGTTCTACTTTGCACAACATGGCTGAATATGAGCATTACATATTTTAATCCCATACCTTAAGGAGCCTTGTCAATGTGCAGTGAGCTGAAATTGTGGCTCCTTGCTATTGAAGCTGACTGTCCTGGGCTGTCATGTTTGCTTCGTACTGATGTGTGGTGGGGTAAAACTGAGTGACTGCAAATCTCCTGGCATTAGTGAGATGTGTATCTCATGAGACTGCCCCAGTGAGCACAATTCCAAATAACTACAGTACGGTTCAGCTTTGACATTTGTTTAGTACCTTCCATCCAAAAGGGATTCAAATTGTGCGTTAGAAACACTTTGCTCATCACAAAGATGCAGCCACTTCTGGGCTGGAACGTGGCAGTTGTTTAAAAAAGGAAGGGAAGTTTATATTGTTCAATGGAAACAACAAGAGGAAGGTTAGGGAGGCAGAATGTAATTGTGTGGGTTGGAATTTGGCCAGGACACTAGGGTTGAAACCCCCACTTATGTTCTCGCAATGCTTTGGAGACAACTTTTTATTACAGAAGGTGGAGAAAGTGACCAGGGGAGAGGTTGTTCTATATTTGATTCTGACAAACAGGGAGGATCTGGTTGGGAATTTGAAGGTGAAAGGCAGCCTGGGCAAAAGGGAGCATGAAATGATAGAATTCATGATTCTAAGGAATAGTAGGAGGGAAAACAGCAGAAAAAAGGCAAAGGACTTCAAGAAGGCAGACTTCAGCAAACTCAGAGAATTGGTAGGTAAGATCCCATGGGAAGCAAGTCTAAGGGAAAAAAGAGTTCAGGAGAGTTGACAGTTTTTTAAAGAGATAGTATTAAGGGCACAAGAACAGACTATCCCAATGCATAGGTAAGAGACCATCCTGGCTTAATAAAGATAGCTTCAATAACCTGAAGCTCAAAAAAGAATCACATGAAAAGTGGAAGCTAGGTCAGTTATGAGGGATGAATATAAAAAACAACAACATCACAAGCATGTAGGGACAAAATTAGAAAGGCTAAGACACAAAATGAGATTAGGGACACAAAGGATACCAAAAAAACCATTTTACAAATACATTAGAAACAAGAGGAAGACCAAGGATGGAGTAGACCCTTTACTCAATGCGGGGGGAAAGACAATGCAGAAAACACAGCAATGGCTGAAGCGTTAATTGTCTTTTTTTGTCTCCATTTTCATCAAAAACGTTAGCAGTGATCAGACGACTAACATAGTGACCATCAGTGTACATGGGGTAGGATGTGAGGCTAAAATAGGGAAAGAACAAGTTAAAAATTATTTAAACAAGTTAGATGTCTTCAAGTCAGCAGGGCCTTATGAAATACATCCTAATATACTTACGGAACTGGCTGAAGCAATCTCAGAGCCATTATCGATTATCTTTGAGAACTCGTGGAGGACAGGAGAGATCCCAGAGGACTGGAAAAGGACAAGTATAATACCTATCTATAAAATGGGGATTAAGAACAGCCCAGGGAATTACAGGCTAGTCATCTTAACTTCAGTACCTGGAAAGATAATGGAGCAAATAATCAAACAGTCGGTTTATAAGCACCTAGAAGATAAGGTGCTAAGTAACAGTCAACATGGAATTGTCAAGAACAAATCATGTCAAACCAGCCTAATATCCTTCTTTGACAGGGTAACAAGCCTTGTGGATAGGGGGAAGCAGTAGATGTGTTATAGCTCGACTTTAGTAAGGCTTTTGATACTTTCTCACATGACCTTCTCATAAGCAAACTAGGGAAATATAGTCTAGATTAACCTGCTATAAGGTGGGTGCACAACTGGTTGTAACACCATACTCAAGAATAGTTATCAATGGGTTCATAGAAAAGCGGAAGGGTATATTAAGTCAGGTCCCACAGGGATCTGTCCTGGGTCCGGTTCTATTCAGTCTCTTCATAAATGATTTGGATAATGGCATAGAGGGTACACTTATACAATTTGCAGAAGATGCCAGTCTGAGAGGGGTTGCAAGCATTTTAGAGGACAGGATTAGAATTCAAAATGATCTGGAGAAATGATCTGAAATAAATAGGATGAAATTCAATAAAGACAAATACAAATTACTACACTTTGGAAGGAACAATCAGTTGCACACATAGAAAATTGGAAATGACTGCCTAGGAGGAAGTACTGCAGAAAAGGATCTGGGGGTTATAATGGATCACAAACTAAATATGAGTCAACAGTGTAACACTGTTGCAAAAAAAGCAAACATCATTCTGGGATGTATTGGCAGGAGTGTTGTACGTGAGATACAAGAAGTAATTCTTCAACTGTACTCAGCACAGATAAGGCCTCAACTGGAGTATTCTGTCCAGTTCTAGGCATCAGATTTCAGGAAGGATGTGGACAAATTGGAGAAAGTCCAGAGGAGAGCAACATAAATGATTAAAGGTCTAGAAAACACAACCTACGAGGAAAGATTGAAAAAAAAATGGATTTGTTTAGTCTGGAGAAGAGAAGACTGAGGAGGGACATAACAGTCTTCAAATACGTAAAAGGCTGTTATAAAGAGGAGGGAGATAAATTGTTCTCCTTATCCACTGAGGACAGGACAAGAAGTAATGGGCTTAAACTTCAGCAAGGGAGATTTAAGTTAGACATTAGGAAAAACTTCCTAACTGTGCGGATAGTTAAGCACTGGAACAAATTACCTAGGGAGGGGAAAGAATCTCTGTGACTGGAGGTTGTTAAGAAGAGGTTTAGACAAACACCTGTCAGGGATGGTCTAGGATAATGCTCAGTCCTGCCTCAGTGCAGGAGACTAGATCAGAGGAGCTCTCG